AATTTAAAATACCTACTGGCAGCTCAGCATCTAATTACATTCCACTTTACGCTGAGCTCATGGCCAGGAAAGGGTGGTGAATCAATCTAATGAGATAGGTCAACCGCTTCTGGCGCCCATAATGTAAGTAGCACCATGGAGCACTTGAGGGACTTGAAGCAGGGGAGGCTGATCTTATCTGAAGTCTACTGCCTTAACCAAAGGCCTGGCAGAACAACTCCATTTGACAAGCCCTGCAGAATTGCAGCAAATCCCACAGGGCCCTGATCTCAATTGGGGGCATGTTCCCCCAGGTCGGGGCCAGTGACAAAATGGCCTTGGCCGTGGTCGAGGCAAGGTGGACGTCTTTCGGGCTGGGGACTACTAGGCAGTGCTGGTCAGAAGAGCGCAGGGCTCTTCAGGGCACATACGGGGTGAGATGGTCCCACAGGCCTGTTCTGTATGTTTTTTCTATCCCAATGAAAGCTAGAGCAACTAATCTCTTGGTCAGTAAGGCAGGTCACTTGGATGTTCAAGTTTTTAATGTCCAAAAGGTGTAGCAAGCCCTGTTTCAAAACATATGTGAAGCTACTCAGGCTTTAAAACTAGAACATTTCTGACTGTTAAAAATAAGGGAAAGAACAGACCAATAATTTTTTTGGAGCAGTGACACATTTTTATTAATAGTTGGAAATGCTGCATGTGGGATTGTATGAAAACTCTGATTTTTATTGCTTGTGCATCATTTCTGTGCAGGCGTTTTAAAGATGGGAATGCTCAATTTTCATGTTTCTGTATTTGTGCCTAAAACGTTACGCTTCTGCAGCTTCAGCTGAAAACAGCACTATTATATTGTGGGTTTTGCTGTCTGCTGTTTTCTTCAGTGATGCCAGTTTGAAACTGATTTGAAGACTGATTTGGCAGTGCCCACAACACCAAACAGGGAGTTTGTCTATTATTATTTTTTTTACCAGTGTGCCTGTATTTTGCTGTGACTTTTTTAAAAAACGTAAGTATTCTAAAAGTATATTGTCATTGGAACGAAGGCTGTGTGATCCTTTACCCCTGTGCCAAAGTAAAACACTGGGGGATGTTCCCCAGGTTCTGAGACAGCAGCTGGTTCACAGTCACCGGGCATCCCCAACCTTGTTGAATCTATAAGGAGTCTTGGAATGGTGGCCATGGGATGTCTCTGTGTGAAACCAATCATAAAATGGCTGCCACAAGGGCTGGGTCCAATCATAAAACACTGGAGTGTTCCACAAAATGTTAAGCAGCCTCAGGTCAAGCATTCGCCTAGGATGGAGGCAGCTGTTTCCAAATGGATGCTCCCCTCAGACACAAAAGTGATGCCTCCTAGGGTCTTCTGAATTCCTCCTACCCCACTGTGGTGGAGGAAAGCCAGGATTGGCTCTTTGCTTTGGGGAAGAAGTAAAATGGGACAACTAAAAGGATTGGTGTGTACCTTGTGGAAGCTGAGAACATGATAGTTCATTGGTGCCTTATTTAACTTTGCTGAAAAATCTTGCAATATCCTATTGGGAAGAAGTGGTTCTTTATGGTTCCTTCTTCCCGGGCTGTACGTGCGTATCTATCTTGCATCCTTATTGTTGCTTTATACAAAGCATCTGCACTGTGCTTAACCAAGGAAATCAGCCAGTAGTGTGTTCATTAGCATGCATAATATACATTTGGTCAATCATTTTTCAAAAGCAGTTGCAATCCTGTACACATAATCTGTGCTCCTCAGTGAATTCTTTTAGTTCTTCAACCTTTCCTTGACCCTCTTATGGAAGCAAACAATTATTCTGAAGTGTCAAAGTGATGCATGGAGATTTAGCTGTGTGATGCCCATTAAAGTCAGTAGGAGCCATGTAGGTAAAGACCAATACAACCCACAAAACATACTCCCGGTGTGGTAGAAAGTAGTGATGTAATTTTCCAGACATGTTAGTGGAATTTGCAGCATCTTGGTTGGCATTATATATGTGTGTGTATATTTGCATTCATTTTATGTCTTCTCCGCATATTGACAGAGAGAGAGAGCATTTCTCTTTAACGGCAGTATAGTTTCCTAGGCAAAGTCATTCATTTTATCAGTCTGTAATCAAGTGTGACTTTAGTTTTAAACATGTTGATTTCTCAGGTTGAAACTAGAAGTTGTGGGTGATGCATGTCTAGTTCTCAAAGCTGCAGCACCTCTGCCTTCTCTTTCCACGGGTCTGCTCCTTGTGGGGGACAAGGAACTCCTAAGCTAGCTGTTATCCCAGAAAAGAGAAGGAAAGGGGTACGTTCAACAGTGGTAGACCTACAATGTCTGGAACATTCCAGTCTCATTTTATATGTTCTTGTACTTTGACAGTGACACGCAAAAATCAGGTGTCACTGCCGAAGTCACATGAAGGCTGAAGGACACACACATGTGAAGTTCACTGTGCACCTTTTTAAAATGCTCAGAAGAGGCGGCTTGATATTTTATTGGTCTCTGGGTATTTTAAAGTGGACATAGGCAGAGTGTTATTAATATATTTATTAACTTTCTTTGTTCCCCTCCTTTATCCTCAATGGGGACCGAAAACAACTGAATGTTCTGTTTTCTCCATTTTATTCTCACACTCCTGTAAAGTAGATTGTGAGTGTGTGACTGGCCCAAGGTTGTCCAGCAAACTTCTGTGGCAGAGTGGGGATTCAAATGTGGGTCTCCCATATCCTAGACCAAATCTCTAACCACTACACCACATTGATCTCTCTCTCTCTCTCTCTTTGCATGTGTATACTGTGCACCAACTTGATGAGAGGAAAATAGTTACAATATATGAAATTACAGCTGGCCTTGTGAGGTGCATAAATATGTACAGAAAATGGATGTACTGGTCAGACCGTTGCAAGCTGCCAAAGGCAGTGTCCTCTCTGGGCACAGTACATGGCCTGTTTTCATACAGTGCTTTTCATGTAGCAGCATGGTGTAGTGGTGTAGAGCGGAGGACTCTAATCTGGAGAACCAGGTTTGATTCCCCACTCCTCCATATGAAGCCTGCTGGGGGACCCTGGGCCAGTCACAGCTGTCTCACAACTCTCTCAGCCCCACCTACCACACAAGGTTCTGTTGTGGGGAGATGAAGGGAAGGCTGCTTTGAGATTCAAGGCAGAGAAGTCGCTTTGAGACTCCTTACGGTGGAGAAAAAGCTATTCTTCTTCTGCTTCATATTGTCCCATTCTTTGCCTTTTGCCCAGTACCAATTCATTTCTCGGTCATACTGGCATATGACCAATGGATACTTTTAAGATGGAAATCAGAACATTCTATTCTTGGGGCAAAATACTTCATACTATGCAAACTTTATAGGTACTTGAGGCAGCTGAAGAATATGGGTTTTTTTAATGTTCTGGCTTGTTTATTGATAGTTTGTATATAGTTTGTATGTTGCTGATTCTCCCGTTCTAGCCCCACACATTTTCTGTATCAATAAATAATCAGTAAAACAACAGCAGCCTGCTCACGGAAACAGTGTTCATCATGTAGTCGAAGAATGGGGTCTTCTTGTTCTGCTGTAAGAGGTTGCTTACAGTACACCACGGTGTAACTTTCTTTTAACCTTCAAGGGGGTTCATTAAAGTTTTAGTAGTTTCCTAAGATTCTAGGCAGTATTTCCCACCTTTGTTCTTCCAGCCTAAGAAGCCTGCCTCCAGTCTAAGCCTTATATTGCAGGAATGTTCCTTTAGGTTGGAGAAAGTCTTCAAACAATGCCTGGTTGGAGAGGTAGGATTCAGGCCACGAACATGTCTGTTTGTATACAGTCAACAGACAGGAAACAGCAAAACACCCTGGAACTCCACACATAATGTTTTTAATGTTACTACGTAAAGTGATCCTCAAGACTACGGACAAAATATTCTGAGCTCTTAGTCTAAACTCTTGGCCACTGCTCTGAAAAGACGAAGTTGCTGTATAAATAGAGAAATCAAGCAACTGTATCATGTCTGTCATTATGATTTTGTGGGTTACGTTTCCCAGACTATCATTTCCCGTTCGGTAGTGTACTGCAAAATATATGTTTTTAGAAAATAATGGCTAGAATGTCCAATTTGAACTTGGGTTCAAATATCGACTCAGGTATGAAGTTGACTGGGCATTGGGAGACTTTGAGGTAAGAATTTCCTTTCAGCTTGAGTTGCGTCTGTGTGTATAAAGGGCCGTCAAGTCGCAGCCAAATTATGACAACCTCAGCCAAGGGGCTTTCAGTGCAAGGGAGAAGCAGAGGTGGTCTGCTTTGCCTTCCTCTGCAGAATCTTCCTCAGCCGTCTTCCTTCCAAGTATGGACCCTGCTTAGCTTCCGAGATCTGAGGAGAACAGGCTCACCCACGCTGCCTTCCCTCCGTTCAGACTGAGTTGATAAAGGTTAAATAAATAAATCTTTGAAATACGTGTATCCCACCTTATTGTCATAAAAATCAAGGCGGCTTATGAAACACGGATCTTATACGCTACTCAGGGCCAGACTTCCCTTGGAATGTCCAGTACAGAATGGGAATTAAAGACTCTTATTCAGCTGGAGGATGCATGATATTCTTGAATACTATATAGCAATTGAAAATGTCATTTTGGTGACTCAGCTAATGACTGGTAATTTCTTTATAGCACCAGAATAATAATTGCAGTGGCTTTTCAATTTGTACCGAAAACTATTAAGGGACATTCACAGCTGCACAGCAAAAGTGCAGAATTAAATTATTTTCCGTTAAGACTTAAAGACACGCCGGTCCATGCCTGTTCTTCTTTTTAACAGAAAAGAATCAAATGTTCCCACTTCCTCCGCTTGAGACTAACCTAAATGCTTCTTGAAGCAGTTTTTTGGGGGACAAGAGCCGATGGGTGAATTGTCGTGCGTGCAAGTATGTATTAAATGCTTCTCTCCTGTGGGCACCTAGATAGATCAGCTCCTTGATTTGCTATGTTAGGCATAAAGCATCTCTTCAGATTTCTAATGAACTTTTCCACCAGGCTACTAAGCCCATGAACAATGCAAATGGAATTGCCCCCTGATGGTGAGGAATGGGGCCCAGATGGCCCTTTAAAGGTGATAATTAGGAAATACGGCATAACGGAGCAGCCAGAGATGCAGACATTTGTTGAAGACAGTCTATCTGTCTTGAGCAGGTATCTTTCTTTAACTGTATATGTAAGCTTTTTAATTGCTTTAAAAGATATACATATTTTTAATACAGAAGCCACTGATTTATCTGCTCTGTTTTGCATTACTTTTAATTTCTTCCTTGTTTGTATAATTTCCTGAATGTCTGGTAGTGCATCTATGTTTTAGGCAATCTGCTAGGCCATGTTTTACTCTTTTTGCATGGGACTCCAAAGTTGAAGGGATGGATGTCAACCAGTTTGGTCCCATAACCATCCATGGTCTTAGATCACATTAAATCACAGGACTGTTTTCACTTTGATTCTAGACCAAGTATGAAATATAATATATGGGAAATATATGCTCTGCCTTATTTTTAGAGTACTCTTTGTAAGGCAGCTGAGATGATAGTTTAAACAGAAACTAATTACCTCTCAATGGTGTTTTTCTGAGTTTATCAACTTTGTAACGTGAACATTGCTTACAGTTTACCTACGGTGCCATTGGGAGGGAAGGTGGCATCATATTGCCCATTCTCGTCAGATATCATGAGCAGAGCAGGAGACCACCAAGGAAGTGATCCGGGGCAAGTGATGCTCTGTATTCTTGGTGCTGGGGGGGGGGTCAATAGTAGAGTTTTGAGTGTCCTGGTCCCACTGCTGGACCTCCTGATATCAATTTTTTTTCTTTTCTTTTTTCAATTTTTCCAATTTTTTGGAAAAAAACAAAAAGCCTTCAGGAAAAAAAACTGGGGTTTTTCTGATTTTTTCTGGGTTTTTTCCGGGCCTTCTCAGCTCTAGATGGGCCATTGGCCTGATCCAACATTGGCTTCTGTTATGTTCTTATGAAGGCTCTGCCAAGGATGGCCATGGTAAATCATCTCTGCTTTTCACTTGCCTTGAAAGGCCCTTGCTGGGTTCACCATAAGTCAGTTGCGACTTAATGGCATTTACATGAACATACATGAAGCTGCCCTACACTCAATCAGGCCATTGATCCCTCAAGGTCGGAATTATCCATTCAGACTAGTAGTGGCTCTCCACAGTCAAGGGTCTTTTACATCACCTGCTGCCTGATTCTTTTAACTGGAGATGCCAGGGATTGAACTAGGGTTACCATTCCCCAGGTGGGGGCAGGTGATCCTCCACTTTTGCGGGCTCCTGCCCACTGGCAGCCAGCTGGCCGGCGGAAGGAAATTCCCCCACTCCACCAAACAGCAATGTCATGTGTGACACACTGATGTCACCTGGAAGTGATATAGGTGCATCAGTAATGTTGAAGGGGTCTCTCTGGTTTTTTGGCAAAACTCTATGGTTTGAGGGCAATTTTACCATAGAGTTCTGCCCCAAAACCAGAGCATTGTCCCCAATGTCACCGGCATCTCTGCTTTTCACTTGCCTTGAAAGGCCCTTGCTGGGTTCACCATAAGTCAGTTGCGACTTAATGGCATTTACATGAACATTCATGAAGCTGCCCTACACTCAATCAGGCCATTGATCCCTCAAGGTCGGAATTATCCATTCAGACTAGTAGTGGCTCTCCACAGTCAAGGGTCTTTTACATCACCTGCTGCCTGATTCTTTTAACTGGAGATGCCAGGGATTGAACTAGGGTTACCATTCCCCAGGTGGGGGCAGGTGATCCTCCACTTTTGCGGGCTCCTGCCCACTGGCAGCCAGCTGGCCGGCGGAAGGAAATTCCCCCACTCCACCAAACAGCAATGTCATGTGTGACACACTGATGTCACCTGGAAGTGATATAGGTGCATCAGTAATGTTGAAGGGGTCTCTCTGGTTTTTTGGCAAAACTCTATGGTTTGAGGGCAATTTTACCATAGAGTTCTGCCCCAAAACCAGAGCATTGTCCCCAATGTCACCGGCATGTCTGTGTCATTTCCAGGTGACATATGCATGTTGTATGATGTCCCCACCCTCTCCCAGAAACCCCCCCATCCCCCCACTGGTGCAACAATCGGACCTGGCAACCTGAAATTGAACCCGAAACCCTCTGAATGCAAAGCAGAGGATCTTCCACTGATCCTGTCCCATACATATGTGCAATGCCATCCTAAGTAAATTCATAGCCTTTTAAGTATTGACGACAGTGAGCTAAAAAGGGTGCAACTCTGCTTAGGGTGAGTACTGTTAGTTACTTGATTTCAAAAAAATGTGCAGCCCTCTAAAAACAAATTTGGGAAAGTGGTGTGGAAAGGTAACTTGCCATCCTCATGCTGCATTCAAACCTTTCCTGTGTGTTGGGAAGAGAATTATTGGTCTACAACCTACGTTCAAATAACTGGTGGAAAGAGTCGGTGGGCAGACTGCTCGCTGGCCTCTGGGCTCCAGCAACAGCCCCAGCGGTGGTTGCTGCAGACAGGAGGCCACTGTCTGTCTGTCTGTCTGGTTCAGCTGTCCTGTAAACCCTTAAGAAGTGGCCTCATGGTACAAATGTGCTCCAAGAGTTCCCTGCCCCAGTTATTTATTTATTTATTTATTCAAATTTATACCCCGCCCTCCCCGCCAAAGCAGGCTCAGGGCGGCTTACATAAAAATAAAACACATAAATAACAGTTATACAATCATAAAACCTCCTAAAACCATATAATATTATAATATAAAGTGCCAGCAGGATCTATAGTCAGTATTGCTTAAAATGATGGTGACAGTCATATTAATGTATCCGGTGAATCTGTCTTGTTGGTCAGCTCATTGGTCTTTCCATACCTACGCAGCAAGCACAGACTGTAGGTGGCAAGACCAGGCACTACATCTTCAGGGCTCTAGTTCTTCCAGTTGTTGTTGGTGGTTACCATCTGTGCAGACCAAATGCATGTTCTAGGTGTGCATAGTTTGTGCATGAGACTGAGTGGCTCCCGGAGTACTTGATTATAGACTGTGATGATAGCGGGCCATGACCATCCATAGTCTTACCTACATGGCCAAGGTGTTGTGTGCTGGTTCTTCTTAGCTTGCTCCGGCAGTCGTCTCTGGGTGCCATGCTGGCTCCACGGCGACGGTACCTTTCGGGGAAGAAGGTGAGCCTCAATTCCTTGGCCGTCGCCTTGGAAGAGGCTCTCCTCAGCTCCCCAGGCTGGGGGTCTCCTACAGAGACCCCAGGGAGGTCCGGGATGAACTCGGACCCATCCCGTCAGCTGAGTCTTGGCGCGTCTCCATCAGAGCGAGACGGGACGCGTCCGAGCGGCGAAACGCTTAAACCGGAAGTCGCGACCACAATTCTTATCACTAGAAGGAAGAAGATATACATTCAATTATAAATGTAGCTTAAAAATCATAATAAACCATTACTCTCAAAACTGTCACTTACATTACTACTTATCAACTCTTGAAGGAAACATTCCATGTTGACTGTCTAATAACAGAACCCAAGGTCTTCACAATGTATTAGCTGGATTCTAGGAGCCAAACATAAAGTCTCCACTGCTAATTGCTACCAGCCACAGTCTTGCCTATGCAAACAGCATTTAAAGTGCTAGTGTATCCATGCATGTTTTTTTCTGTTTATAAAAACCCAACTATAAAATGCCATCTATAGTATTACTTTCACATATTAACAGCCTATATAAACATCAAAACCTTTTTTATTCAGTGTCAAATATTAGCAGCCATGGCTGGACATTATAACCATGTTTAAAGTGACAGGGTGTGATTTTCAAAAGACACTCTGTGGGAACAATACCAGACGTGAGGAGATTTACATTCTATGCCAAAGTTCTAACTTACAACTAACATAATACAGGTATGATTATAGAAAACAACTAAGATCAAGTTCTGAGTTTAGCCCATGAGGTAGTAGTGAATTCAACTGGTATATCCATCTGGCCTCTTCTTGTAGCAACACCTTCCTTATGTTAACAGTAGTATTAGCAACAAATAAAACTGCTTATGATGATTTTCGTTATTCAGTTTTATTTTTTGCTAATACTACTGTCAAGGAACTTTCCCCATGTGAAGGTGAACAAAAAATCAGTAAAGTAAAAAGTGGTATTTTATTCTTACTGCTAGTAGAAAAAGATGTGTGGCTTGTGTCATTTTGCCCGGCTGACTTTGCCCAGGATCGTTGAGATACAGTTGCAATACTGCATGCAGGCACATTTTCATAGAACTTTCCTTCTAGCTTTTCCCCTACGCCACCCATCTTCCCAACGCACTAGATAGAAAAAATATTAGCTTACCAAAGAGTGTTCCTTGGCTGTCTTTATCTTGCTGGGGTGGGGGCAAACTGCATGGCTTCTCCTTTCAAGGATTTGGGCCTTGGCCATTTGCCTTCCTGCCCCCTGCCATGAAGACCTTGGGGCATTCCTAACGCAAGCAAGCCAGTAATTGTGAACAGAGATCAACAGCAGCTCCCCAGCCTTCAACTGCGCCAACGAAACCACTTGAAATGCTCTTAATTTTGGATTTTAAGCAAATAATTACATTGATCATATGAGGTGCTTGGTTTGCCAAGTAAGCAGGTACTGCAAAGGGGGAAAGCTGATTTTCCAAATACATGTTTTGCAAACTATGAATAATTCCTGCATAGGTGTGCTGTGTGACGTTGAAATGAATCCCTTGGGGCTGCTCAGGCAGGAAACGGCAGTCCTGGACTGACCATCCTATGGGCCGATTCTACATTTGTGTATTATCAGCTGGAGAAACTGTGCTACCTAATATAACAAGTGAGGCAGAAAATGTCAAGCCTCAAGAATCTCAGTGGTCTCTTTTTATGGTTTGAATTTTTGTTATGTGGAAAGTTACAAGGGTCTGGGGTACTTTAAAGGGGAAACTATGGAGACTGATAGAATTCTTTTACTTTTTTGAAAAATGCCTGGAGTACAACTTTATGAAGGGTAAAGCGAACTGGCATATTTATAGTGCAATCCTATGCCAAGTTACCGTAGTTAGTTAAATCAGTGGGCTTAATCTAGGGTAACTCCTGCATAGGCATCCTATGGCACTGGAAGTCTGGAAGTGAAAGCTGGGTGATAGAAATATCACATATTAGCAGGGGGGAGAAACCCATTATT